ATTATAAATAAGTACGCATTTTTTTTACTTAGATAAACACCCCCTAAACTCTATCTTTTCCTGTGCTAATAACAGAATTATTCTAAAACAAATATCACAAATTTTCTCGATAACTGTTTATCGTAGAGCACTGATTTTTTTTGTATATGATAGAAAATTAAATTTTCTTTCGAACGGTTCCAAATATAAGAAGTTATCTCCAATAAGTCCGGAGTTGCTGGCATTAGACTGCTCCGGGAACTAAAAATCGACCAAAAATATCGACAAAAATCCAAAAAATCAAAAAAAAAATATTCTTATAAAAAACCAGTACATAAATCTAAATTAATAAACACATATATCCTGAATTTTAAATGAAATAACCATAGGGTTTTTCAGAACTCGCGCCCCAAATAAAAAAATCGAGTAGGATAAGATACCAGAAACATGGAAAAAATGTTTAAAGAACTCTGACATTTATTTTTTGACATTTAACATTTTTTGTGTCTATCTAGTGATTCTGATAACCTTGTATATGTTTTTTCATAATTATTCAGTAAAGGTACAAAAATTTTTCAAATAAAAGCCACAAAATAACGTTAAACGTAGTTACAGCATAAAAAACCTAAAAAATTATTTTTCCAACAGAAATAAATAAAGTCAAGTACAAAATTTAAGCTCCCAAATTCCGAAATTTTTATAATATTTTTTCTATGTTCCTGAAAACTTACATTATGTGGAATTTCTCTCTCACCCTATTTGTATTAAAAAAATGTACCTAAAAATTTTGCTGAATGAAAAAAAAATGTGGTGTAAATAACTATTCGTTTTTAGCTTATTTTTGTAAAGATTTTGGTCAGGTTGGATCAGGTCATATTTTTTATTTCACTTCAAAGAAGCAGTTGCGATGTTGTCATTTTACAGATGTCTTGCATGCAATTAAATTCCTAATAAAGTGGTCCGTGACAGGTTGAAATTAGGTTGACTTAAATATGTAGAGACAGAAGATCTGAATATATCTTTTTTTTTCATCAGTGTTGCAAATATTTTTCTTAATTCCTGTTTTTTTTTTAATTGTGCAGATAAAAACTACAAATTTGTTTGAATTCCTGTTCTTTAGTTAATTAAACGAACAAAGACGATAAAAATGTTTATTTCTTGAATTTTAAACGGAGTCATTTAATCCGAATTTCTTATCAGTTGATTCCTGTTAACGTCTTTTTAATTTCAAAGTACGTACATTTTAAACCCACTAATCAGTAAAATTTCCGAAAGAGCAAACCATTGTTAGCCCCATCAACCCTCCCCTCACCTTCGCGATACCATCACTGCCCTAATCCTAAAAAGTACATTTCGTCTTATCACCACCGAAAAAACATCAACCGTCGCGTGTCCAATACCCCTCAGACACTTCCGAACCTCGATCGCCGCCTATCTCTCCTCTCAATCGACAAGAAAAGCCACATTTCAAACGCACAATTCTCATTAAAATCTACGGACAACGTCCACTTTTGAGGGAATTTTGAGGAGGGTGGAGTCTAGGGTGTGGGCACGCCCCGGCGCCTAACCGGAAACACGCACGGCGATGTGTGACGCCGTCAGGGGCGGCGCCCGGACTCCCGGAAAGCGTGACGAGTCGCCGCTGAAGAAACTCTTCGTGAACAACGGCCATTAGCGGTATGGATGGTGGCTGTCTACCGGAAAATTAATTCATAAAGCGAAAAGATGAAGGCGCTCATTACGTAATTCCAAATATAAATAAGTTGATACGTTTGAAAGCGGAGGTATCCTTGACAGGGAATTTACATACTTGTGAAGCGGAAAAGATGGGCCGATAAGGCGAAGGTGGGCGAAGAATGGACAGAAGACCACGTGGAGATAAGTCTAAGCGGCTTATTTCACCAAAGTGAGAAGCTTTAGGCGCGTGATTATCTGTCACTGATATGCCTAATTGGATTATTCTATTTAATTTCTAATTCTGGGACACAAAAAATGTGCTCCGTTTTGACACAGTTCAAAAAACAAAACTTTTATTATACAGATTTTCCCAGTGAATAATAATCCCAGTGATAGTTATTTATGTAGGTAAAAAATCAAGGAAATAAACAACAATTTAAATCCCCAGAGGTAATGTTTCATTCGAGAAATTAACGATGTTTATTCAAGAAATGCATACAAAAATTTTCTCCCAAAGACTAAATTAATAATAACATGAGAAAATGATAGATTTTGCAAATCTCAAATAATTTCTCAAAATATTCAGTTTATTCAATTGTAATTTTAAGAGTAAACACTAAAAATCGGTATTTCATTTAATTTATGCCCGAGAGAATAAAGAACCAGATTATTCTCTGTTGGGAGAAAATCAATTACTTATTATTGATTATTGATGTTAAAATACTCAAAAATGTGGGTACAAAAATAGATATTAACTCCCTGCACCACTTAAAGTTAGTCCCAAGTTTACAAGATGTTTCAAAAATAAGTTACAATACAAACATGTTCTTTAGTAGAACACCCCATATATTTTTAGTTTTTGGATGTAGCTTTTATTAGTCTTTTAGTAACTTTCACTAATCCATTTTGCTTAGTTTTTAATAGCTATTAAGACAACTAAAGTTTTATAGACAGTTTAAAAATCGAGCGACCTGAGGGAGAGATTTTTAAACTATAAAACTCGTGATGTCTTGAAGATTTTTTGCAACACTAATATTGAATCAGAAATTTTACTAAATTCAGAAATTATTATAATGTCAAAATAATGTCAAAATTCAAAATTAACTAATTAACAAAATATGCATCAGCGTATTTTAAGGATTCATAAGATACAACAACAATGAGGAATTTTTTTTTTGAAAAAACCATTATTCCAAGATTTAATGCATTTTTTCTCAAAACTTTAATTTTTGAGTTACTATAGTTTTCGTTGGGACAGTCGAATTAATTATAAAGGTAAAAAAGTTTGTCAAAAATAAAATAACTTGCATAAAATAAATGGGACATCCTATTTTATATACCAGGTGAATAAAAAGTATAGAACCAAACGGTTTTTGCTTAAACTATTTATTTCTTGAAAAAACTAATTGATGAGTGATAAAGTACTATAAAAATGTGATGATTTAACAAAAATAAAATTTTTCGAAATTTCCTTTTGTTTTTGAGTTCTACAAAAAACTTTATTTTTTTAAATGGCAACCCACTACAAAATCATTTTTTTCGTAAAAACTATACTCTAAGGATTACAACTATCTGCTTTATATTTAATTTTTTCAAAAAAATTTTTTCACATAATTGCAATTTTGACATAAAATCGCATAACTCAAAAACAAAACAAAATTTCGTTCTGAAAATACGATCACATTTTTTATATTACATTAATTTATATTAATTATTATTTTCGGGAGGCAAATGATTAAAAATAAAACCGCTTTGTTCCATACTTTATATTCACCCTGTATAAAAATATATTTAACTTTAAATGTTAATTATAGCAACATTGCCTATCATTAAATCTCTTATGAGTAAATTTCTTTTCTGTGGTTTATCTAGAGATTGTAAAAGCAGGCATTGAAATTTGCATTAGTTTATTGTAAAAATAAAGAATGATACGTTTTTATTTATCAATTCAAAACATTTCAAATATGTGTTTAGATAAACAATTTCATAATCTATTAGATGCAAAAATAAAAAATAATAAAATGTTCCACCAAAATTTTTCAAGTTATTTAAATTTTAACAAACTCCTTGATTTTTGTTAACTTTTCGACAGCAATATGTACAATAAAAAATGTTATAGACTAAAATTTGTACCTACTTTTTTCTTTCAAGATGTCAAAACGTAATTTTCTTATTATTCTTAAATTTTGTGTAATAATTATTTAAAAAAGAGTATATGTTTAGTGAAAAAAATCAAAATATTTTAAAAACTAAACAAAATCGCTTAATAAAAGTTTTGTTTAAAAATGCAAAAAAATACGTTTTATTAAAAAAAAAACATAAGTTCGTATTGTAACTTATTTTTGAAACATCCAGTACATTTAAAGATATTTTTAGGTGATGCAGAGAGTTAAGATCAATAAATTTTGAATACACCATGTACATAAATTATTACAAATTGTAAAAAATAAAAACCATCTAAAGTTTCTTATTTTTCATATCTTTTCTTACAACACTGAACACGCAAAAACTAAATATCAAATTCTTGTTTTATAAAAATCATAGCTCGATATCACAGAATTAAAAATAGGGCAAATATAATTAAAAAAAAAGAGTCTTAAAAAGTAGAGAAAATGTATTTTTTCGTGCTTTCTTATAATTTTACAACACTGATTAAAAATCTGGATTAAATCTGATGTTTCATCAAGAACCCGTGTAATCCAACCTTTCTGAGCGTTATTTTCCGTATCATCCTATTTATTTCCATTCCCCCAAGCCCCCATTAAACATGACGAATGGTGCATTTAGCCATCGAAAAGCGATGATGGCGACATAATTATGATGATTAGGCATGAGGGGTGTGCGAGTAAATAAGCGGCAATAAATGCCCTCTCTTTAAAGATTATGGTAATCAAAGCGATATTTATTCATTTATTTTCCGCGGTATTTTAATTAGTCTTTGGCTTTTTACGACGTGTCTTATATGGTGCAAGAAGTAAATAAAATCCACTCTTTTTGACGAATAAATTCGATAGGACGCAGGTGTTTATGAGACATGCCGGCCTTTTTGCACATGCCAATAAAATAAAAAGACAATTTATTACACACTGCTGGAAATATGACATGTGTACATACACAACCCACAAATTATGGACTGGGTCATTGCCATAATTCACTCAAACGCGGGAGACGTCGCCGCGAGCTGTCCCTCCAATTTGGAAGGATGGAGTGACGTCAAATACCACATCTGCACCATCTGCATACCATTACATTTAAAACGATTTTTTATAATAAAACAAAAACCGAAACTGTCAATTCCTGTTTGACATTTCCGCTAAAATCGCTTTACCTTAAAATGTCGTGGCCCTAGCAACCCCAACCGATTTTCCAAACAAAAATTTCAGTTAAAATTTCTTGTCGTTTCGGTATGTGAATTCTCAAAATTGTCGTAAATTTCGAACTTTTCTAAAAAATTCTCGTGTATCCTTCAAAATGGTGTTCGTTTGCCCCGAAAAGTGCAAACAGCGCAAATCCCTCCTAACCAAACTCAAGGACTTGGTCGACCAGATCGACGACAAGAAATGCTGTCCTCCATGTTGCCCACCTCCTTGTTGTCCTCCACCTTGTTGTCCTCCCCCTTGCTGCGGCATCGGACCGGTAATAGAAATTTACGATCCCCTCCCAAAACCCTGTCTGCCAATTGTCAATCCCACTCAGTGTTGTCCACCCCCGTGTTGCCCCTCACCAAGTCCCTGTCCCCCACCCCAATGCTGCCCCGGGACATGCCCGTCGCCCTGCGCCCCCGTCCCGATGTGCCCTCCGATGTGCCCGCCCGTCATGGTGCCCCCTTGCATGCCCATTTGCACCGCAGTGCCGCCGCCTTGCGTCCCCGTGTGCAACCCCTGTCCCGAGGAGCAACCCTGCGTGCCCTGCAACCCCCCGCAGATGATGGTGTGCTACCGCCGCCCCAAGTGCCCCACGGGGGCCTCCAACAGGTCGAAAAGTCGCGAATTGCGAGCCAGTATCTTGCACGTGGGGTGTGACTGCGAGAAGCGGAATGGTCTCCAAGACGACTGTCCGCGATCGGAGTGCCAGGGGGCCCCCGAGTGTCTCACCAAACCGGACCCCACTTGCGGCCCCAGCGAATTCGCCAATGGAAAACACTTGGGCAAGAGAAACTACAGTGGGAAGAATAAGGATTTGGAGGAATATCAGTGTTATCCCGCTTATGTGCGTCTCCCCCCATGCCCCCCTTGCGCGCCTTGTGGGGGCTGTCCCCCTCCCTGTTGTGACCCTTGTTGTCCACCGCCTTGTTGTCCGCCACCGACTTGTTGTCCGGCTGTGCCCCTGGTGGCGCAGGCTCCTTGTCCGCCACCGATTTGCCCCGGGCCTCCGCCCCTCGTCCCCGTGGGGCAAATCGTCCCCATGGCCCCGGCCGTGCCCTGTTGTCCCGCTCCATGTTGTCCTCCACCAGTGGCGTGCTGTCCGCCTTGCCCCTGTCCTTGTCCGTGTTAAATGTTCTTTTTTCTGTTAATAAATAAGCTGGAAAGTCGAGAGTTGATTTAATTTGCACGAAATTTCAGCTTTCATGCACGAATGCACCGATTCCTGAAAGTGCTATCGGGGATGGTAGTCAAGCAGCACGACTTTAGAGTTTCGGAGAATGGAGACTTCAGGGTGGGATAATTGCAATATTTGCAAATATTTTTAAATAAGTGAAGCTAATTGGGAAGAGACACGACACGATTTTTGCTTTGGAAATACGCCAAGTGCACGAAGGTTTCAGGTTTCAGACTGGATAATTCAGGCCTTGCGACATGTCTTAAATCGTTCAAGGGAAACTGAAAGATGTGCTTGTCATTGCAATTAGCATTTTTAAAAAATATGTCTTCAGTTACAAAAAAAACGCTTAAATTTGTGAACAAAGTGGCCAATGACTTCGAAATTAAGTTGGTAATATTGAAATACTAGTCGGTTTGTATGCGCGCTCGTTTCATTAGTATGCAACCTCGAAAAGCGCAATTAAGACCTTTTCTTTGCATTTAGTCTTTCGTAATTTCCGTATTTATGCTCCTAATGAAGAGCATTAAAGTAATACCCACCCTGTATAATGGTTTAGTCACAGAAAGCTGGGTAATCGAGTCGTCACGGCCCTGACGTATATAAAACCCCATAATTTCTTCTCCACGATTTTACATAATGCGTTTTTAATACGTACCCTAGAGTGTAAAAATGTACCATTCAAGCCTTGCGCTAATAATTTGCTTCCACGCAACGACCACAATCGGACTTAGTTTATTAACAAGCAATTAACCGTCGTAATTACAATAATTTTCCTTTGAGTGCTTAAAGAACGCCTAAAGAACTGTCGCAAGAAAATTTGAAAAAATCTGATATCGGATAGTCTCAATGGTGAAAACGTGCCTAGAATGTGCATATTGTGTAAAGATAGCGTTTGAGCGACTTGTGTAAAAATGCCATTGGCAGATATCGATGGTTACAAATACAACGCTACAAAAGTGAATTGTCGATTTTTTAAGAAAAGAGATCGTTTGTTCCCTTCACAATGAGCTTTACGTCTTGGACACGTCACGAAAGTTTGCTGATTGACGGCGGGGTGACCCGTCTAGCCTCGATGTATTTTAAAACGCAAAAATTGACGACCTTTTAGCTACAATGGAACGGTAATGACACGAAAGGGTGCCATCAGCGGTATACCGTCATCGCCTGGACTATCTCAATAGTCGAGGACGTTTCATTTCAACACCATGAAACTTTTAAACACGACTTTACAATGATGTTTCTATTCGCATCCACAAATAACTGTTTCAAATTCACTCAAAGTAAAGAAACAATCTTTATTAATGAATACATATCAGGTATATATATATATATATATATATATATTCGTATGACAAAATAATAGGAATTTATTAGTCAATTTTTTTTTATCGGCCTGCGGAGCTGTCTGCCAGTCCTCATCTTTTATACTCCCAGCGGCATGCTGAGCATTAGTCTCTTTCAGGGACGCTTCGTAATCTGATTGAGATGTGTTTGCTTTGTGTTTAGATTTAATTTGTTTCTGTTTTTTGTTATATTGTTCTATGTTGTTTGATTTTTTGTTATGTTTAATTATTGTTT